TCACGGCACGGTGAGCCTGCAAGGCGTTTTTTTTGTGCGCACTGGGCCCTTTAAACAAGTGGTTGCGGTTTGAGTACAATGAACTTTGGTCGGGACAACCCTTCAAACCACAATTTAGAGGCTAAGTTTGAGAATGTCGTTCTCAAATGGACCCATTGGGTTCAAACTGCAATCAACCCTGGCGCACTTGGTCAGGCCCACAGCGTCCCAAAGACCATCGCCGCACTTCTCGTTCAGGTCGGTATTCTCAGCCGTATGCCTCAGAGCATCGCCCTTCCCGAAATCCCCCTGAAGTCAGGTAGTAGAACCCCGGCTCAAGAAAAACAAACACGGGCCAGGGTTTTGGGCGCACATGGCTTCCCTTCGCGTCTCAAAAAGTTGTTGCAGGTCGGATTGTGGAGGAACCCTTCCCAAAAAAAGTTGACAAAAAGGGCGGAACACTGGGCAAGTGGGAAAGGAACCACGATTCTTGTGGGGAAAGGCATCAAAAAGCACCTTTTAAGCATCTAGCAAATATCTTATTTCTAAAGATCAAGAACAACTTAGGGTGGGTTTAGGTATGGGCCTAGGCTGGCTAAACCAACCCCTAAACCCACCCGAAACCCACCCGAAACCCACCCGAAACCAGCCCAAAACCTATGCCAAACCCGCCCCCTAAACCGACCCCAAACCAAACAAGTTGCAAGCTGCAGGAAACCCACCCAAAGTCCAAAACAAAGCAACCCCAGCCATGCCGAGTTTGCTTTGACACCTGACAAGTTCTTGCTTGCCGCAGTGTCCTGTCATTTTACCGTGCAAAGCGCAGTAGCCATATTAATATGCATTGTTTGGCGCACCAAGAACTAACAACTTCCTTCCTTCCTTCCTTCCTTCCTTCCCTCCCTCCCTCCCTCCCTCCCTCCCTCCCTCCCTCCCTCCTTCCTTCCTTCCCTTCCTCCCTCCCTCCCTCCCTCCCTCCCTCCTTCCTTCCTTACTTTCTTTCCTTTCTTTCCTTTCCTTTCCTTTCCTTTCCTTTCCTTTCCGTCTCCGTCCTTCCTTCCCTCCTTTCTTCCTTCCCTCCTTTCTTCCTTCCCTCCTTTCTTCCTTCCTTACTTCCTTCCTTCCTTCCTTTCCTTTCCTTTCCTTTCCCTTCCTTCCTTCCTTCCCTTCCTTCCTTCCTTCCTTCCTTCCTTCCTTCCTTCCTTTCTTTCTTTCTTTCTTTCTTTCTGTCTGTCTGTCTGTCTGTCTGTCTGTCTTCCTTTCTTCTTCGCAGTTGCCTGGCGAATGCCATTATGCTTTTCATTGATGCCTACTATTGATGCTTAGCAAGTTTCTTATTGGTGCCTGATAAGTGCTTGTTGATACCTATCCCTGCAACCAATCGGACCCAAAGGAAGCACAAGAAAGTAGACCCATTCCAGCACCCCCCAACTCTTTGTTTCCATGTCCAACATGCCCTTGGTACTGTCCAAAAAGCAGTGGTTGGGGTTTCCATTGGTCCGCTGTTGGTAAAGGTCCCAAAAGGTGATCACCTGTTATCTCTATGACATGTGCATTGGTACCCAAAGGCAAAAGCCCTGCAATGCCAGGTGACGCGCCCAGATCGTTGTTGGGGTCGCAGATGTAGTCGATATCTGCCAGGTAGTTCCTCGAATCGCGATATGTGCTGAGGACGTCTCATTGTTTTACCATGGTCAAAGTCACCCCCTAAGTGATGGGTTAAAGGGAAACAAACCCCATTTCTGACTTTGATAACCCCCAGAAACCGTCAAAACAATGACCCCTGCTCTGACCATTCCAAACATGGACAATCATTAGCTGGGTCCTTCTGAAGAGGAAACTAGGACCTGTGCAAAAACCCATTTGGCGGGTGTGTATCGTGGGCTCCTGTTAAAGAGAATTGCACACCAAAGCAAAGCACTGGAGTTTTCTGGCCGGCCACATTCGGACTTCGGCAAGCTCAAGAAGGGGAACCAAAACCAGGTCTTCCTGGTGGGAAAACAAATCCGAAGGGCACCAAGCCTCAAAGTTACTCTCGGCCAAGCCGCTCATCGATTTGGGCCACTGCCGGTTTGACCTAGGCGGTGCCACAGGGTCCATACGCACCCCGGCCCCAAAAAAAGCGAATGGGCCGTATCCCGTTGGTTTCCGAACTTGCCAACCCACGGCAAATGTGGGCGAAGTCCCCACAGAGAAATCCGCGGCGATGCCTCATTGTAGGTCTTATCGTCGGCGTTGTGCAATTCAATGAAGACGTTGATCTCAGCCGCTCCGATGAATCCGCTGGACTTCTATTAGCCGCGCTCACAAGAGGGGGGATATATTCGATGTAAGTTCTATTGGCCGCGCTCACAGGGGGATATTTTCGAAGGAAGTGAAGCAACTCGAATGAACCACGGTGTCCCTGCCAAACAGATCTGCGGAAGCAAAGTCTTACATAATATGTGGTCATATCAGCTGTATGACCCCTTTACCATTGAAACACAGTGCAAGCAACATGAATATGTTAAACGTTACACATGCTGCTCCTTTTTCGGGAATATCAGAGGTTCAATCGGACCGTACATTCCCTCATTCCAAAACTTACCCTCCCTCCCACTAGCATGGCACCCTGACTCCTTTTGGGGTCCTCCAAATTGGCTTCAATTTCACGTGAACAACCGCCAACCAAACGGGGTATCCTCCAAAATATATTGGCGCACCAGCTGACCCTATTACTTTACCATCAAAATTAAAAATCACCCTGTTGACTTTGACTCCCAAAGTCAAAATGACAGGACAGGCCGCCATAAGATTGTACTCCTTGTATGCCTTCGCCAGGTTCTCGTCACGTCTGATTTGCTCATAGGCCTTGCCTCCGCGAGCGCTGACAGCGGAAAAACGCCCAGAATTGCTGACCTTTGTTTGGGGGACCCCGGAAACATCGGCCAAAAGAAGGACCCTCAAAACCAGATCCATTCCTCTGAGATTGCCCACCGGCCCGTGAATTTTTCAAACTCAGCGCCCCGGCCGTTCTGCAAAATGAACCATAGACGAAATAGGACAAGTTGACCGACTACTCAGCTATCAGTTCAACCGATGGCTCTCCCTGGCTGTGGCTCAGGAAAAAACAAACCTGAAAAATCGCCCGCGGCTTTTGCCTTTGCCTCGCTCTCTTGCACTTTCATGTTCAGCCCTATCGTCTTTCAGTCCCCGCCTTCTATGGCAGTGCCCATGCTCTCTTGCAAGGCATCGATGGAGTTGTAGAAGGTCTGCGCGGATCGGTTTGTCTCTGGAGAGTCCAACCCAAACGGGCCATGGTAACCACATAGCCGTCTAGAGGCAAAAAGCGACGTGTTTCCTTCAGGGAGAGTAGCTTTGGATACGGCTCTGAGTCCAGGAACAGACGGCAAACAAATCTGGAATCTCAAGCTGCACCGTCACCAGAGTCTATCGTTAACATTGCAGTTGGGTGAAGTAGATGGTGCAATTCCCCCAATGTCCATAGATTACTAACCCCCCCCCCCTTGTACCCGCCCCCTTTTCATTTAAGTGCAAAACGCTTATCTGCCTAGGGTGCCTGGGAGAGGTCCTTGGGGGAATGCACTTCCAGCCCCGCACGCTAGCAAAACTCCTTGGGAGAGGCTTGAATCACGAGCATTGCATTTGCAAGCGAAGCGTTTCGATCAGTAAAGGCCAATTGCGACAACATCTAGCCTGACACTCGTTACTTTGCTAAATGACTCGGGAAAATTGCTCCCCTAAGGCTCGTCTCTTTGCTATTCTCTTTGCCAAATGCTCCCCTACGACTCAAGCCCTCGCCAGTTTTCCTGGGTTTGTCCGAAAATCCGCAGAACACAGCCCCGGGAAGCCCAAACACTGAAAAAACTCGAGTTTTACGGACCCCCCCCTTCAAATAGGGTACTAATAATCTCTTCCCCCTATTAATAAATACGGCCCCCCCCGGTTTCAAATAGCTTGCTAATAGGTTGCTAATAGCAGTGACTAGCTACCTAGACCCCGCGAGCAATGCAATTCAGCCAGACTCCGCCAGACTCGGACGCTTTGATACCTTTTCTCGCTCGGCATTTTTGCCGCCCAGTTTGAACAGCTGATTGAACCACTCAGACTGTGCCCAGTGGACTTGTACATTGCTGAAATCTTCGGGGATCAATATTGTGATATGACCCACAACTTGGCGGCTATCCGACGATTTCAGTACCAGCCATCGCGGCATTGCAACAACCTGCCGCCTGTAAAGACTTCGAGCGTTTGAAGCAGCGTGACAACCCCGCACAATCCTGGAGGAAAATATGGCTGCTAATAGCTACCTAATAGCAGCTATTTGTACGCTAAAGCCGGGAAGCTATTAGCAGCTACTAGTAAGCTATTAGGAAGGCACAGCCCTGCAAAGACCTCTTAGATGAAATGGGGAGGGGGTGTAAGGCTTATTAAGGGGGGAGGGGTTTTGTAATCTATGGAGTGTTGCTGTAGTCATTTGTTTTACTCACATTGTACAATCTAGTTTCGCCCTGCTGTATTCTGCTTTAAAGAGCACACAATCTACTCCATCCTAGAGCTTTATGGGTGAAGATGTGTGAGCTAACACCACTTGTCATACCTAACATGTGTATTTATGTACTGCATGCATATGTATATGTATTGACATGTGTATTGTATGTATATGTAGGCATATATACATGCAAGCACATATTCAATGTACAATGCACACACCTACTTTACTGGTCCATCAAATGCAACTGATACATTGGTACTATGTCGCTCAAGCTGGAGACGCGTTGCCAACTGCTTCCATTCGTGCTCTAGCTGCCTTTCAGCTTTCAGGCATGGCATTTACATGTGTCGCTTGATGTCTCGACGTTCGAGCTTGCGGGCTTGGCAACATAGTGGATCGGCCACGTTTCACCCTAAAGCACTGAACATGCGCTCACAGCTGCCCTTCGCCTCTTTGTTTGTGGATGTGGAGGGGGCCAGGAGGTGTCCATTCGAGATCCTCCGGACTTCGGGGACGCTGTTCAACTTCATACCCTGAATTCCCTCACATCCTGCCAGGATCTCACCATCTACTTGTAATCATATTGTCATATGCGCAGCGCTAGTCTCCCGCGAAAATTGAGTTGTAGAGTGTCCTTCCTGTGCCCTTGCAATGGTATGGACGACAAAGAAAACAGCGTGTTCCTGCCCAAGTCTACCAGAAGTAAACTGTATGCGTTGCTTGGCTCCCATGTTTCATTGATGCAACTGCAGAAGGCGAAAGGAGACAAACGACTTGAGACACGAGACATCCACTTCCTCTTTTTCGAGGGCCCTTTGCTTGCATCGCAAAAAAACGCACCCCGGTTTCAGCCCAAGGGCCTCAAAGCCATCTGCAAAAACCGGGGCCCCACCGTTGGCCCCCGTGTTTCTCTCTCTCTTTTTCCCCTTGCTCATTTCTCGGGCTTCAGTTCAGTGTCTCCCCCTTAAAAAAAAAATGGGGCGCATTTCGGGCGTCAGCTCCGCATCTCTCCCCTTCTTTTGGGGCGACCCAAAGGTCCGCCTCGATGGCCAGCTTCAGCTTCCGGAGCAGCTGGAGGCTCCTATGGACTCGGAGCCTTCCTTTGGGGTTCTAAGGCGGAAACAAAACGGGGGGCGAAACTGGCGCCTCTGCGGGGGGGTTTTTCGCCCCTTAGGAGAAAGCCAGGGGAAAAACTCGAAAAGATTACATGGAAAAACACCTGAACATGGTCTGGTATGTTTGGCGGTGTCTCTTTATGTGGAAAAAGTCATGTTTCAAATGAACGACATGCATCTTTTAAGGAGGTGTTGGAAACTGGTGCCTTTGTGGGCTTGCTTTTGTGCTGTCGGTTTCTTGGAAGCACAACAGAAAGGAGCCAAAGTGCCCCCCCCCCCCTCCCCCAGGTTTTTGGACACCGTTCGTTTGCTCAAGTCCATCTCTGTCCGACAAGAAAGAACAACTCCTATTCCAACTTCTCTCAGCATCTCTCTGCTTTCCGCTAGAACCCTTCTGACAAGCATCCCTAACCGGGCCTAGTATCAGCTTCCCAATTGGTTTGGGGATTTGAAACCCTTGCTGTGGAGGGCAAATGGGAAACCACTTTCGTAATCTCCAAACCACCAACTAGGGGGCTGACCTGGGTGGCCTTTGAAAAACACATAACACCGGATTAGAACCACATTGCAACTAGCAGTTTTAAGAAGGGACCCTGTGCTGGACAGCATTTAGGTGGGGATTTATGTCAACCAACCACTTTGGAGGTGGTTCCTATTTAAAGTTCATGAGCCACATCTTCAGCCAAACTGCCAAACTGCCCTAAGAAAATCCCAGCCGCTTGGGCCGTTAACAACCCTGGTGCATGACGCACGGCATTCGTTGCGTTCCTCGAGACGTTCTCGTGTTTGACCTTCTCCTGCTCCTCCTCTGCTGCCGCCTGCGATGTGGGAAATGAAGCAGATGCGCAGGGCCGTCCAAACCAGGGAGTAGACCCCTGACTAAACTGGCCCAGAGACATCGGTTCTGAGGTTTTGAGCGGTGCGCACACGTTGCCACCGGGAAAAAGAAAGAAAGGCACAACGCACACAGGCAAGAAGCAACAGCCTCGGCGGCAAGTGCTTTTGTCCGCAGATCTCAGGCCATTTGACCTGAAAAGCGGCACGCAACTGGTCCGTCCTCGGACACTTCCGCTTCGGCCCTCTTGACAGTGGTCATGGCCCTGTCCAGGCTGGCCTTAGCTTCCCAAGGCGTGCAAAACCGGGTCTTGCAGTCTCAACACTTCCGAGGGCAACATCGGCGTCACCCGTCTCTCGTCTCAGGGCGATTCAATGGTGCCTAGGAAATATGCAAAGGAAGGAAACAGTGAGGTTGTAGCTTGACGATTCACAATGAACACCTTGCACTAAAAGCGTCTGCCCAACATCACATGTGAAGACTCGAGACAGCGGCCGCACTTGGCTGGGACTCCTCACTACCCCTCATCACTTCATCTACCGCGTTGGCAGTGGCTCTGATAACTCGCAAGCTTCATGCTCGGCATAAAATCACGATGTGTCTGTGACCCTGGAGCCAAAAAATCTGTGGCAGTCCGCCAAACTGATACCCTTACCATCTCTTCAGGCCTTGCACAGCTCGAACGGGGCAGGAATCAAGCCTTGTCACCCTTTACACTTGCACCCTCAAACCGCCCTTTTCCGGGCCCCTTTTCCGGGGCCCCATTTCAACGGACCCCTAAGAAGGCTGGGCGAGAACAAAACGCGCCAAGCCCAACACGTTCCACGCCGAAATCTCCCCCCCGCCTGCGACTCCCGGAGCTCCTGAAACCGAGCGGTCGGACACTCGCGGGGCGAGAAAAATCGCTGGCTGCGGGGTCGCCAAAAGGGGTCGCCCAAAAACTGGGAAATGGAAGGAGCCACTTGCCCTGGTGAACGGAAAAACTGGTAAAACTGGCCAAAAATCCTTGCCCTGGTGAATGGAAAAACTGGCAAACTGGCCAAAAATGGCTTGCCCTGGTGGAAGGACGAAAACCTGCGGTCCATATCCTGGTGTAATTTTGAGGCATGCCCATAAGAATTGGCGAGTTACAACGAGTCACTGAGGTCCCCTTGAAAAGTTGAAGCGATTTTTACTGGTGGGTTCCAAAAGTGGCAAAGGGGAAAATGAAGGATCCCTGTAATGAATCATGGATAGACTGTTCATTGATACTTGGATTATCATGGATCAGGGGGTTGGGATTATTCTGGATCATGTTGATAGTGGAGGATTGATGGATTGGGAATGGGTGGACAGTGCTATCTCACCTAGTGGGGCTTCTCATTGGAAGCTCAACTCAGTTGAGCAACGACTTAGTTTTGCAATTAGAACTTGATTGATATAAAGCTTGGTTGCTTTCTGCTCCCCTGCTAAAAGGTTTAACTTTTAGTGGTTTAATGGAAAACCCATTAGTTGGCAAAAAGTTGAAGTCCTAACATCCAAGCAAAATGCGCCAAAGAAAGCATGGTCTCAACACCTGAGGCTTGATTGAAGCACTCGACACATGCTCTCCCAATCGGCCATGGGTCAAAACCCCGTACCCCCAGTGAACATCCCAATCCCCACTAAAATACACCAAAATGGGTGGTGCACCTACCCCAAAATGGGATCCCATTGGTGTTGACCCACGGCCAATCAACAAACCACGCACATGCGAGTTTTGTCAATGCCACGCTCCAGGCCTGCTAAGTAAGTGAGACGCTCCGTCGAGGTGAAGGGAATTCCCTGCTATAGAAAACGGTTTGGATGGGGCGAATCTGTGGATATTGAAAGAGTATGAAAACAGCACCAACAAAAGAACCCCAGGGGAAGAACAGGTGAAATCCACAAAAAGCGCATCCAAACCGTTTTCTGAATACATGGTGGTCGTCCTGGGGTTTCCCTTGAAACTTTGGGGGTAGTGAAGATTATCTTAGACTGCAAATCGGCGTGTCACGGGATTGCGGGAACTCCCAGAATTGGCGGCTTCCCTTTGAGCTTTGTTTTAGAACCACCCCAAAAAGGGCACAACTAGGTAAAACTAAGTACAACTTAGCAAAACTACCCGAAAAATTGACATTTCCAAACATGTGTATATATATATATATATATGTATATATATACACATATGTATAGATGGTAGGACCCGCCCCCAAATGTCAAGGTGCTCCTGCCGAGGCTCCTGCTTAAATAATAGTTATATATATATAGACACCCAAATGTAAGGCTCCCAAACTGCCCAAACTGCGCCTTGGCAGCATCGCTGGCAGCCCTCTCGGCGCTGATCTGGTCTTGCTCACGGTCAGCCTCTGATTCGCCCCAGTGACCGGTTCGGTGATCCGCAAAATGATTCACATGGAAGCCCCAAAATGGGGGTTCCCCCAAACCCGGACATTCCTCTGCAAAGGGTCCAGGTTTAGGTTCTATGTCAATTTGCGGAGTTGCTGGAATCCAACAAAAAGAATTAGGACGCCACGTGTGGCTAAGGCTTTTTCACGTCTCTGGCAAAGCAAAGACCAGTGCCTTGAACTGAGATGTAGCCATGAGCTTCCCCTTCACGTCCTGGGCGATGCGCAAAACAAGACAGCCTACAGCACATTCAGATGTGCAGCTGCAGGGAAACTGACATGAAAAGATTCCAGCTATGCGTGCATACACATATGCAAGAATATATAATATACATATATATATATATATATAATAATGAAACAAATATACATGACTAAAATACATATATATAAAAAAAAAAAAAAAAAAAAAAAAAAAAAAAAACATACCCGCATATCTGTGTAAGTCTAGCCATGCACACGTTGGTGAAGGCTGAGTGCAAGGGAGGCTCCAGCATGGCTGCCTCCGCTCTTGTCCTCTCCTCTTCCTGCACGAAACGCGCTTTGCCACGAGGTCAAGGTCGACTTAAAGCCAAGGTTGTTTAGTTCCAAGGGAGAGCCATGGGTTAAAGTCTCTCTGCAGGTAGTCAAAACAAGTCAAGTCAAGGTCGACTTAAAGCCAAGGTTGTGTAGTTCCAAGGGAAAGCCACGGGTTAAAGTCTCTCTTGGGGTAGTCAAAACGAGTCAAGTCAAGGTCGACTCAAAGCCAAGGTTGTGTATTTTCCAAGGGAAAGCCATGGGTTAAAGTCTCTCTTGGGGTAGTCAAAGAAATCAAGTCAAGGTCGACTTAAAGCCAAGGTTGTGTAGTTCCAAGGGAAAGCCATGGGTTAAAGTTTCTGTTGGGGTAGTCAATACAAGTCAAGTCAAGGTAGACTTAAACCCAGGGTCGTGTATGGTCCAAGGAAAAGCCATGGGTTAAAGTCTCTCTTGGGGTAGTCAAAACATACCCATGTCAAGTCAAGGTAGACTTAAACCCAAGGTTGTGTATGTTCCAAGGGAAAGCCATGGGTTCAAGTCTCTCTTGGGGTAGTCAAAGAAATCAAGTCAAGGTCGACTCAAAGCCAAGGTTGTGTAGTTCCAAGGGAAAGCCATGGGTTAAAGTCTCTCTTGGTTGACTTGAACCAAAGGTCGTGTACGGTCCAAGGAAAAGCCACAGGTTAAAGTCTCTCTTGGGGTAGTCAGACCATGAACCCAAGTCAAGTCAAGGTAGACTTACACCTCCATCGGAAAGACATGGGTGAAAGTCTCTCTTGGGGTAGTCAAAACAAGTCAGGTCAAGGTCGACTTAAAGCCAAGGTTGTGTAGTTCCAAGGGAGAGCCATGGGTTAAAGTCTATCTTGAAGTAGTCAAAATAAGTCAAGTCAAGGTCGACTTAAAGCCAAGGTTGTGTAGTTCCAAGGGAAAGGCATGGGTTACAGTCTCTCTTGGGGTAGTCAAAACAAGTCAAGTCAAGGTTGACTTAAACCCAGGGTCGTGTATGGTCCAAGGAAAAGCCAGAGGTTAAAGTCTCTCTTGGGGTAGTCAAAACATGGACCCAAGTCAAGTCAAGGTAGACTTAAAGCCACGGTTGTGTAGTTCCAAGGGAGAGCCATGGGTTAAAGTCTATCTTGAAGTAGTCAAAATAAGTCAAGTCAAGGTCGACTTAAAGCCAAGGTTGTGTAGTTCCAAGGGAAAGCCACGGGTTAAAGTCTCTCTTGGGGTAGTCAAAACAAGTCAAGTCAAGGTTGACTTAAACCCAAGGTCGTGTATGGTCCAAGAAAAAGCCATGGGGTAAAGTCTATTTTGGGATAGTCAAAACATGGACCCACGTCAAGTCAAGGTAGACTTAAATGCAAGGCGTGCATGTTCCAAGGGACACGCATGGGTTAAAGTCGATCTTGGGGTAGTCAACACATGGACCCAAGTCAAGTCAAGGTAGACTTAAACCCAAGGTCGTGTATGTTCCAAGGGAAAGCCATGGGTTAGAGTCTGTCTTGGGAGAGTCAACAAAAAGGACCCAAGTCAAGTCAAGGTAGACTTAAACCCAAGGTCGTGTATGTTTCAACGGAAAGCCATGGGTTGAAGTCTATCTTGGGGCAGTCAAACGATGAAACCATGGTTCTGCCCACTGAAGGGGCAGTCTGCATTGCCCCAAGCTGCGGGCCATGATGGTAAGAATATGTTTCCAGCCCACAATGTAAGTCACAATCAACACCTGGATTTACTTTTTCTACCCAAACCATGTAAACAATTACAAGGCTGGGCGCACTAGTTTCTGGTTGGGATTCATTGTGGCCCAGGTCTCACGTGGCGGTTTCCATCTGCTCGCCTTTGCATCGAACTGATCCTTCAATGCCTGAGCGGCATGAGAAAATGAAACACACAGCTCCTCAACGTCGAGTCTGTCAACTGCTGCTACCGTGCCAAATCATGCAAGGTGACAAGTAGCTTCGATCAACCGCCAACCAGCATGTCGAACCCGGATTCATCAACCTAGACTCTTAGCTGATTCCCTATGGAACATGCCCAATTGACATCAACCAGCATCTTAAATGGCACCCCTCCAATCAAAATCAACCCAGGGTTTATTCTGGATGTTTTGTTCAAAGTTTGTTTCCCGTATGCTTTAAAGGAAAACCATAGAAAGACACCTCAAGGAATTCGATGCTGAGGTGCTTGGAGCTCAGCCTGCATCGCCGCAATCGCCGCATTATTCTTCTCTTCCCTCGGGCGCAAGGCAGGCGCCCCTTGACTGGACATAACCTGTCTATTTAGGGCTGTCCGCTTTCAGATCTGCTCAAAGTTTTTAACTTTTAGCGGGTTGAAGAACGAAAAAGCTAAAAGGCGAAGGGGATGGCTGGCAGCCACCAAGTGCTGTTTTCAACATGCCATTGTTGGGGGTGCTTTAAAGGAAAACTCCACCACTTTTTAGGGGGGTTCCCCTACAAGAAGACACGCCCAAGCGATGTGACAAGTCATAACATTGACTACGAATGTCAGCTCTTGGAACCCGCTCAGACGTCGCTCCCCATGTCTGATGTCCACTGAGGGTCCAACCAATCCTAGTTGATACCTTCAGTGATACCCGTCTGGGAGCAGACGCTTGCAGGATGGCTGGTGGTAGGCATGTTCTCAGGATGGGGAACCTGTTTGCCTTCCGTCTGAAACTGACCACCTTGTTAGGAAACCAGAAAACAAAAAACAACTAGACCACGGTTGGCCCGAAAGCAGAACATCGCAAGCGAGGTCGGCCCAACGCTGCAGGATGCATTCTTTTTCCCTACACAAAGCATTCGTGAAGCAAGCGCGAGACAGCACCAGGCAAGGTGCTCTGCGCAAACTGGTCGGTGCAAGTTGGTCTGCGCAAGTCTCTACGCAAGTTGCACTGTGCAAGTTGCTCTGTGCAAGTTGCTCCGCGCAAGTTGCTCCGGCAAGTTGGTCCCTGCAAGTGGCTCCCTGCAAGTTGCTCTGTGCAAATTGCGCTCCCTGCAAGTTGCTCTGTGCAAGCTGCTCTGTGCAAGTTGCTCTGTGCAAGTTGCTCTGCGTAAGTTGCTCTGCGCAAGTTGCTCTAGGCAAGGCGCTCTGCGCAAACTGGTCGGTGCAAGTTGGTCTGCGCAAGTTGCTCTGTGCAACTTGCTCTGCGCAAGTTGCTCTGCGCAAGTTGCTTTAAAATGCAAGTTGCATCTTGCGACGCCCGCCCGCGGACCAGGGAGGAATCGAACCCGCGACCCGCCGGTTCCGGGAGCAGGCGCGCGAACCACGAGACAACTCCCGAGGACCAGTTCGAACAACAAAAGTCGCAAAAACCTCGAGTTTTTGCACCTCGACCACGCCGATTCCCGCAGAGGGTTGCGCGAGCACCGCAGAAATCGCAAAAAACCATGGGTTTTTGCACCTCGACCACGCCGATCCCCGCAGAGGGTTGCGCGAGCACCGCAGAAATCGCAAAAAACCATGGGTTTTTGCACCTCGACCACGCCGATCCCCGCAGAGGGTCGCGCGAGCACCGCAGAAATCGCAAAAAAAACCTGGGTTTTTGCACCTCGACCACGCCGATCCCCGCAGAGGGTCGCGCGGCACGCAGAAATCGCAAAAAACCATGGGTTTTTGCACCTCGACCACGCCGATCCCCGCAGAGGGTCGCGCGGGAACTTTAGAAATCGCAAAAAACCATGGGTTTTTGCACCTCGACCACGCCGATCCCCGCAGAGGGTCGATTTTCGTGTAGTGTCGTCGGCACTACCCCGCCGCCCTAAGAAGAGATTTTAACTCCTCGCAAGTCAATCGCACTTGACTCCTTGCACTTGCAACTTGCACTTGACTCCTTGCTTGTTTCAAGGAGTCATTGCAAGGAGTCATTGCAAGGAGTCATTGCAAGGAGTCATTGCAAGGAGTCATGGCAGGAGTCATTGCAAGGAGTCATTGCAAGGAGTCATTGCAAGGAGTCATTGCAAGGAGTCATTGCAAGGAGTCATGAGAGCCATTGCAAGTTGCAAGGAGCCAAGTGCATGGAGTCAAGTGCAATTCGCAAGTGCACGGAGTTAAGTGCAAGTTGCAAGTGCAAGGAGCCAAGTGCAAGGAGCCAAGTGCATGGAGTCAAGTGCAAGTTGCAAGTGCATGGAGTCAAGTGCAAGTTGCAAGTGCAAGGAGTCAAGTGCAAGTTGCAAGTGCAAGGAGTCAAGTGCAAGTTGTAATCCTTGCCATGACTCCTTGCAATGACTCCTTGCAATGACTCCTTGCAATGACTCCTTGCAATGACTCCTTGCAATGACTCCTTGCAATGACTCCTTGCAAAGACTCCTTGCAATGACTCCTTGCAATGACTCCTTGCAATGACTCCTTGCAATGACTCCTTGCAATGACTCCTTGCCACGACTCCTTGCAATGACTCCTTGCAATGACTCCTTGCCATGACTCCTTGCAATGACTCCTTGCCATGACTCCTTGCAATGACTCCTTGCAATGACTCCTTGCAATGACTCCTTGCAATGGCTCCTTGCAATGACTCCTTGCAATGACTCCTTGCAATGACTTTCATGATGATGATTCCTTGCAATGACACCTTGTAATGACTCTCATGAGAACAACTCAAGTGAACCCAGCGGAAGAACCCTTCGCCATGCTTTCGGGGAAAAACAGAAAAAGCACAAGACTGCGCAGCTTTGGAGCCGACCTGGCCACACAGCTGCTCCACGACAGCGGCAGCTAGGTCTGCCTTGGTCACTTTGCCGCCTGCGACCCGTTGGCGCACATCCAGCTGTCGGGCGAGCGCGCAAAGTTGGGGTTGGGCTTTGGCCGCCACCTCTTGCTGGAGCCACGCCTTGCCCTTCTCCGCCAAACCAGCACGAAGCGTGGCCACGACAAGCTCTGCCTCATCCTGCCATGTCCATGAGATGAGGCAACCGTCCGTAAGAAACACGACATGGTGCCATCTGGTGCTTACGTTTCGGCCATCCGCAAAACATCATCAAAAACAATAGCGTCAAACACCGACTACGACCAGGTCGAGACACCGGCGTCGGCGAAGCCGCAGAACTGCTTGGCTCCTGGCAACAATCAGCACAGCAAAACAAACACCAGCAAAACTCTCCAGATTTCGATCCTGGCCTGTGGGCACAGCTTCTCCACGACAGCGGCAGCTAGGTCTGCCTTGGTCACGTTGCTGCCTGCGACCCGTTGGCGCACATCCAGCCGTCGGGCGAGCGCGCGAAGTTGAAGTTGGGCTTTGGCCGCCACCTCTTGCTGGAGCCACGCCTTGCCCTTCTCCGCCAAACCCGCACGAAGCGTGGCCACGACAAGCTCTGCCTCATCCTGCCATGTCCATGAGATGAGGCAACCGTCCGTAAGAAACACGACATGTGCATCTGATGCTTAACATTTTCGGCCAATCCCGCAAAACAACATTCATCAAAAACAATTGCGTCAAAAACCGACTAACGAACAGGGTCGAGACACCAGGCGTCTGGCGAAGCCGCAGAAATAATATACCCTGCCTCGCCTCCTGGCAACAATCATGATGACGACAGCAAAACAAACCACCCAGCAAAACCTCCAAATTTTCGCAGAATCGGCCTGTGGTACAGCTTCTCCACGACTAGCGCAGCTAGGTCTACTTGGTCACGTTGCTCGCCTGCACCCATCGAGCGCACATCCAGGCCCGTCGGCGAGTGCCGAAGTTTGGGGTTTGGGCTGTGGCCCCAGGCCACATCTTGCTGGAGCCAAAACCCTTGCCCTTCTCTCCCAGAACAAACCAGCACGAAGCGTGGCCACGACAAGCTCTGCCTCATCCTGCCATGTCCATGAGATGAGGCAACCGTCCGTAAGAAACACGACATGGTGCCATCTGGTGCTTACATTTCGGCCATCCGCAAAACAACATCAAAACAATAGCGTCAAACACCGACTACGACCAAGTCGAGACACCGGCGTCGGCGAAGCCGCAGAACTACAATCAGCACAGCAAAACAAACACCAGCAAAACTCTCCAGATTTCGATCCTGGCCTGTGGGCACAGCTTCTCCACGACAGCGGCAGCTAGGTCTGCCTTGGTCACGTTGCTGCCTGCGACCCATTGGCGCACATCCAGCTGTCAGGCGAGTGCGCGAAGTTGGGGTCGGGCTTTGGCCGCCACCTCTTGCTGCAGCCACGCTTTGCCATGCTGGGCCGCGCCAGCCTGAAGCCTAGCTACTTCGAGCTCCATGACTTCTGTTTGAGCCAAATCTCATCCGCAAGATGCCACATAACAACCAGCTGTGTGCGCCATGCCCGTAAATAAGCCGTGTGCGTCATGCTCCTCGCAACTTCTTTCATGATGAGAACTCCTTGCGTCAAACTCCTACAGGGTGAGTGGCCTGAAAGCATAACTCCCCACGATGTACGGCAGACTTGTTTAACCCCGGCCTGACACATGCGCAAGTTGCTCTGCGCAAGTTGCTTTGCGCAAGTTGCTCTGTGCGAGTTGCAGTGTGTGCAAGTTGGCACGAGACAGCACCAGGCAAGGTGCTCTGCGCAAACTGGTCGGTGCAAGTTGGTCTGCGCAAGTTGCTCTACGCAAGTTGCACTGTGCAAGTTGCTCGGCGCAAGTTGCTCCGCGCAAGTTGCTCCGTGCAAGTTGGTCCCTGCAAGTGGCTCCCTGCAAGTTGCTCTGTGCAAGTTGCGCTCCCTGCAAGTTGCTCTGTGCAAGCTGCTCTGTGCAAGTTGCTCTGCGCAAGTTGCTCTGCGTAAGTTGCTCTGCGCAAGTTGCTCTAGGCAAGGCGCTCTGCGCAAACTGGTCGGTGCAAGTTGGTCTGCGCAAGTTGCTCTGTGCAAGTTGCTCTGCGCAAGTTGCTCTGCGCAAGTTGCTTTAAAAAATGTAAGTTGCATCTTGCGACGACCGCCCGCGGGACCTGCAGGGAGGGCGGGGGTGGCGAAACGGGGGTAAAGGGGGGCGGGAGGGGGGAGACAAGGGAAAACGAACCCCGCAGGGAAACCGCCGGTTCCGGGGGGCGAGGGACGGAGCATCCAAAGGGCGCGCGAACCACAGACAACTCCCGAGCAGACCCACCCAGATTATTCGAACAAACGAAAAGAGAGGGAGTCGCAAAAAATCCTGGTTTTTTGCACCACGCCCACGCCGGAACGCAAAGAGATTCCCGGCCGACTAACAACTAATTAAAAGTTAAGAGGGGTTGCGCGAGCACCGCAGAAATCCGCAAAAAACCATGGGTTTATTGCACGACGAAACACCCGAAAACCCCCAGAGGTCGCGCGTGCATGTTTGAAATCCGCAAAAAACAAAACCATGGGTTTTTGCACCTCGACCACCGCAGAGGGTCGCGCGAGCGCCGCAGAAATCGCAAAAAACCATGGGTTTTTGCACCTCGACCACGCCGATCCCCGCAGAGGGTCGCGCGAGCAGGTTAAACATCGCAAAAAACCTCGAGTTTTTGCACCTCGACCACGCCGATCCCCGCAGAGGGTCGCGCGAGCACCGCAGAAATCGCAAAAAATCATGGGTTTTTGCACCTCGACCACGCCGATCCCTGCAGAGGGTCGCGCGGGAACTTTAGAAATCGCAAAACAAAAAACAATGGGTTTTTGCACCTCGACCACGCCGATCCCCGCAGAGGGTCGATTTTCGTGTAGTGTCGTCGGCACTACCCCGCCGCCCTAAGAAGAGATCTTAACTCCTCGCAAGTCAATTGCACTTGACTCCTTGCACTTGCAACTTGCACTTGACTCCTTGCTTGTTTCAAGGAGTCATTGCAAGGAGTCATTGCAAGGAGTCATTGCAAGGAGTCATTGCAAGGAGTCATTGCAAGGAGTCATTGCAAGGAGTCATTGCAAGGAGTCATTGCCAGGAGTCATTGCAAGGAGTCATTGCAAGGAGTCATGAGAGTCATTGCGAGCTGCGCATGGAGTCAAGTGCAAGTTGCAAGTGCAAGGAGTCAAGTGCAAGTTGCAAGTGCAAGTTGCAAGTGCAAGGAGTCAGGTGCAAGTTGCAAGTGCATGGAGTCAAGTGCAAGTTGCAAGTGCATGGAGTCAAGTGCAAGTTGCAAGTGCAAGGAGTCAAGTGCAAGTTGCAAGTGCAAGGAGTCAAGTGCAAGTTGCAAGTGCAAGGAGTCAAGTGCAAGTTGCAAGTGCAAGGAGTCAAGTGCAAGTTGCAATCCTTGCCATGACTGCTTGCAATGACTCCTTGCAATGACTCCTTGCAATGACTCCTTGCAATGACTCCTTGCAATGACTCCTTGCAATGACTCCTTGCCATGACTCCTCGCCATGACTCCTTGCAATGACTCCTTGCCATGACTCCTTGCAATGACTCCTTGCAATGACTTGCAAGTGCAAGGAGTCAAGTGCAAGTTGCAAGTGCAAGGAGTCAAGTGCAAGTTGCAATCCTTGCCATGACTCCTTGCAATGACTCCTTGCAATGACTCCTTGCAATGACTCCTTGCCATGACTCCTTGCAATGACTCCTTGCAATGACTCCTTGCAATGACTCCTTGCAATGACTCCTTGCAATGACTCCTTGCAATGACTCCTTGCAATGACTCCTTGCAATGACTCCTTGACTCCTTGCAATGACTCCTTGCAATGACTCCTTGCAATGACTCCTTGCAATGACTCCTTGCAATGACTTTCATGATGATGATTCCTTGCAATGACACCTTGTAATGACTCTCATGAGAACAACTCAAGTGAACCCAGCGGAAGAACCCTTCGCCATGCTTTCGGGAAAAAAACCAGCCACACGTTTTGCATTGGACAAGACCTTGTAGACGAAACCCTCAAGAACCCTCCAACCAAATACCCGAGAACCCTCTCGCGAGGATTCCTTTCATACGGTTGATACTCAAAAGGTATCTTAGAGGGTTCTTGGAGACCCCGTTTCGTTGGAGAAGCATTCCAAAAACGGCAAGAACACACGCCTGCTTCGACCCTCCATTCCTTTTATTCACTCTGGCATATGTATCTTTCCCTTTGAAGAATATGACATTGACCAGGCGATTGATTTCCTCCCCCTTCCCCCAAAAAAACACAAAAACAAACAAACACCTCCCCATTGACCCCATCGCTTCCTCCCTCGCCCAAACCGCCCCCGAGGCCGAAAAGCTCGAGCTTAGGTGTCCTTTTAGGTTGGAAACAGACGGGTTTTCCTGGTATAATGATTAAGCCACCAGGCAAACCAGGAATCGCCATCGATTTTTCTACCAGAAAACAAGCTCCGAAGCCAGCTGAAAGCTGAGGCGCTTGTCGGCGACGGCGGCGGCGAGCTGCTCCGCCTCCTGGGAGGACGTCTCCAGCTCCGCCAAGGCGCCCTCGGAGGCGGCAGGCGGCAGGAGGGAAGGGCAGGAGGTCGAGTTGTGAGGTGACCCTAGAAAAAGGGAACCCTTTTCTGCAGCCTCTTTTCCCAGAATGTGCCTGCAAAAGATAACCCTTTTGGGGACCATTTTTTGTGGGGCAGCCACCAAAGAAAAAGGGAAAAGGGTGCCGGTGAACAACTGAGTCGAGGCTTCCCCAGGCGAAAGCGCGGAAGCGCGTGCCAAAAAGGCGTGCGGGACCAAGGACGGACCGGTGCGGCCAGGTGTTTTTTCTTCTTCTTTTTCGCGGGGAGGAATGAACAGCTGGTGGGGTGCAAAGGGTGGGTGTTTGGCTGAGACATGAGGATGAGTCCAGCCCAAATGACCAAGCACGGTAGGTTTCAATCATGAAAGGGTAGGCTTCAAACACGGCCAGTCGGGTGTGTCTTGTGGTCCCTGTTTGAAGACACAAGGGTGGGTTTCCCATCAACGGCTCCAAACGAATCCAAGAAACCGATCCAAACCGCGGATTATTATGGTTACCTGACGTTTGGTTGCATGGTTGGTCCACTATTCTTTTGTTTGGGGAATAGGGAGTTGGTCTGTTTCCAATAGGGTTGATTGCCCATTCAATGGGGGGGCTTCCTCAATGGAACGTCAGGATTTAGCAACCAACACCCAACAACCAACAACCGAGAACCAACAACAAAACACTCAACAACCAACCACCGACAACCAACAACCAACAACCAACAACCGACACCCAACAACTAACGCCCAACAAACCAACACCCAACAACCTACAACCAACAACCGACAACCAACAACCGACAACCAACAACCAACACCCAACAACCTACAACCAACGACCAACACCCAACAACCAGCAACCAACACCCAACAACCAACACCCAACAACCGACAACCAACAACCAACACCCAACGACCAACACCCAACAACCGAAAACCAACAACCAACACCCAACAACCAACACCCAACAACCGACAACCAACAACCAACACAAAACGACCAACACCCAACAACCGACAACCAACAACCAACACCCAACGACCAACACCCAACAACCGACAACCAACAACCAATATCCAACGACCAACACCCAACAACCAACACCCAACAGCCAACACCCAACAACCTACAACCAACACCCAACGACCAACACCCAACAACCTACAATCAACCCCCAACCCCCAACACCCAACGACCGACAAACAACAACCAACACCCAACAACCTACAACCAACACCCAACAGTCAACGACCAACACCCAACAGCCAACATCCAACAACCAACACCCAACGACCAACACCCAACGACCGACAACCAACAACCAAGACCCAACGACCAACACCCAACAACCGACAACCAACAACCAACACCCAACACCCAACACCCAACGACCGACAACCAACAACCAACACCCAACGACCAACACCCAACAACCTACAACCTACACCCAACAGCCAACGACCAACACCCAACAGCCAACACCCAACAACCAACACCCAACAGCCAACACCCAACAACCTACAACCAACACCCAACGACCAACACCCAACAACCTACAACCAACCCCCAACCCCCAACACCCAACGACCGACAAACAACAACCAACACCCAACAACCTACAACCAACACCCAACAGTCAACGACCAACACCCAACAGCCAACATCCAACAACCAACACCCAACAGCCAACACCCAAAAACCTACAACCAACAACCAACACCCAACGACCAACACCCAACAACCTACAACCAACACCCAACAGCCAACGACCAACACCCAACATCCAACATCCAACAACCAACACCCAACAGCCAACACCCAACAACCTACAACCAACACCCAACACCCAACGACCAACACCCAACAACCTACAACCAACACCCAACACCCAACGACCAACACCCAACAGCCAACATCCAACAACCAACACCCAACAACCAACACCCAACAACCTACAACCAACACCCAACAGCCATCGACCAACACCCAACAGCCAACATCCAACAACCAACACCCAACAACCAACACCTAACAACCGACAACCAACAACCAACACCCAACGACCAACACCCAACAAGCGACAACCAACAACCAACACCCAACGACCAACACCCAACAACCGACAACCAACAACCAACACCCAACAGCCAACACCCAACAACCGACAACCAACACCCAACGACCAACACCCACCAACCGACAACCAACAACCAACACCCAACGACCAACGCCCAACATCCAACATCCAACAACCAACACCCAACAGCCAACACCCAACAACCTACAACCAACACCCAACACCCAACGACCAACACCCAACAACCTACAACCAACACCCAACAGCCAACGACCAACACCCAACAGCCAACAGCCAACAACCAACACCCAACAACCAACACCCAGCAACCGACAACCAACAACCAACACCCAACGACCAACACCCAACAACCGACAACCAACGACCAACACCCAACGACCAACACCCAACAACCGACAACCAACAACCAACACCCAACGACCAACAACCAACACCCAACAACCTACAACCAACAACCAACACCCAACACCCAACAACCTTCAACCAGCAACCAACACCCAACAGCCAACACCCAACAACCAACATCCAACAACCAACACCCAACGACCAACACCCAACAAGCGACAACCAACAACCAACACCCAACGACCAACACCCAACAACCGACAACCAACGACCAACACCCAACGACCAACACCCAACAACCTACAACCAACACCCAACAGCCAACGACCAGCACCCAACAGCCAACATCCAACAACCAACACCCAACAACCGACAACCAACAACCAACACCCAACAACCAACACCCAACATCCGACAACCAACAACCAACACCCAACGACCAACACCCAACAACCGACAACCAACAACCAACACCCAACGACCAACACCCAACAAGCGACAACCAACAACCAACACCCAACAACCGACAACCAACAACCAACACCCAACGACCAACACCCAACAACCGACAACCAACACCCAACAGCCAACGACCGACAACCAACAACCAACACCAGACGACCAACACCCAACGACCAACAGCCAACGACCAACAGCCAACATTCAACAACCAACACCCACCAGCCAACATCAAACAACCTACAACCAACAACCAACACCCAACAGCCAACAGCCAACAACCTACAACCAACAACCAACACCCAACAACCTACAACCAACAACCAACACCCAACACCCAACAACCTACAACCAACAACCAACACCCAACAGCCAACACCCAACAAGCTACAACCGACAACCAACACCCAACAACCTACAACCAACAACCAACACCCAACACCCAACAACCTACAACCAACAACCAACACCCAACAGCCAACACCCAACAACCTACAACCAACAACCAACACCCAACAGCCAACAACCAACACCCAACACCCAACACCCAACAACCTACAACCAACACCCAACAGCCAACACTCAACAACCTACAACCAACAACCAACAACCAACACCCAAAAACCTACAACCAACACCCAACACCCAACAACCTGCAACCAACAAGCAACACCCAACAGCCAACACCCAACAACCTACAACCAACACCCAACACCCAACAGACAACAACCAACACCCAACAACCAACACCCAACAACCAACACCCAACAACCTACAACCAACAACCAACACCCAACACCCAACAACCTACAACCAACAACCAACACCCAACAGCCAACAACCAACACCCAACAACCAACACCCAACAACCAACACCCAACAGCCAACAACCAACAACCTACAACCAACAACCAACACCCAACAACCAACACCCAACAACCAACACCCAACAACCTACAACTAACAACCAACACCCAACAACCAACACCCAACAACCAACACGCAACAACCAACACCCAACAACCTACAACCAACAACAAACACCCAACAACCAACACCCAACAACCAACAACCAACACCCAACGACCAACACCCAACGACCGACAACCAACCTCCAACACCCAACGACCAACACGCAACAACCGACAACCAACACCCAACACCCAACAACCAACACCCAACGACCAACACAACCAACAACCAACACCCAACGACCAACACCCAACGACCGACAACCAACAACCAACACCCAACGACCAACACCCAACAACCGACAACCAACAACCAACACCCCACACCCAACACCCAACGACCGACAACCAACAACCAACACCCAACGACCAACACCCAACAACCTACAACCTACACCCAACAGCCAACGACCAACAACCAACAACCAACAACCAACACCCAACACCCAACAGCCCACACCCAACAACCTACAACCAACACCCAACGACCAACACCCAACAACCTACAACCAACAACCAACCCCCAACCCCCAACACCCAACGACCGACAACCAACAACCAACACCCAACAACCTACAACCAACACCCAACAGCCAACGACCAACACCCAACAGCCAACATCCAACAACCAACACCCAACAACCAA